ATGGGCCTGGAGAACCATATAGGATACGGGGGACTCAACCTGGGTCAGTCTACTGCAAAGCAAGCGCCTTAGCCCCTCCAGCTCCTAAGTTATAGTAACGCCCAGTCTTCATCACACAAAGTTTTCTGAACAGCTTTGTAACAACTACTCACCAATTTTTTAAAATGACTTGCAAAACTGACTTTGCTTTCTTGTATATAGTGACTCTATACGCAGAAAGAGCGCTGGTGGAGATTTTCTTGCTGTTTTGGGGACTCTGCCCTGTGGGCTCGTCTCTGACTGTATGACGAGTGACCCCCTTTGGGGGTCTGGACCACCATAAGTGGTGTCAGGGTCCAACCCTGTTTGGCTGCAAGCCTTACCTCCTGAACCCTCTCTCCAGTCCACAATGGAGAATAACCTCATTTAGTTCCCCCAAATAATACTTGATGGTCCTAAATAAGGTGAGAGATTTGAGGACCACTTCAATAGACAATGTAACTTTAGTGGTAGGCATAGAATTAACAACCATTTCTTGAACACTTCTGGGCGCCAAGTCAAATCTACCTGCCCTCACTCATAATAATAATAATAATAATAATAATAATAATTATGTGTGTTAAATATAGACATATGTATCGCATAATTAATATAAACCCCGTATTGCAGAACAAGAAACAGATGAGAAGATGGGAAGTCCATCTGCTCGAGCTACCCGGTCGCGGGAGACAGAGGCAGAAAGTGGATCCAGATCTTTGTCCCCGGTGTTACAGCGCCCCCTACCTGCCTAACCCCAAGATGCTGTCACAAAAGGTCCACGAGATGGGGCCCCGAAGGGGGTCACAGCACCGCCTGGAGGGAGGGTCGAGGCTAGCAGCCCTGGACAGGGGTCCCCCGACCTCAGACCTGCTCCCTGCTTTGTGGTCCCATCAAAACTCTGGGCTCCCAGCATCCCCTGGGTTGCAATTCCGTGACGTCACAGACGGCCTCCTCTGCACTGCCAGCTGCAGGTGAGTGAAGCCCAGAGGCGCTGAGAGCAGGCAGGTCTGGAATTGGGTTTCTAGGCTTAAAAGTACAACGTCTCCATCTCTTGGCTGCAGGAAGTGGACCCCACGCCGCACTGCCTTGATCCCTCCCTGTGTCTCTCCCTCTCTGGCTCCCCCATGCCCCACCTGAGCTGAATAGTTGAATGTCTCCCTCCCCCCCACAGGCCGCTTCCCGCTCCAAAAGTCTTCCTTGCAACGCCTGCTGGTTTTGCATGTTTGGGTGGAAATGCAGTGGGGTCACTAGGGACAAGTTCGTGGCCTACCAGGGATAGACCAAGGGCCCTCTTCTTTGACTCCTGCTTCCATCTAGTGGAAAGCGTTTGGTATTGCAGAATTACCCTCTTCCACTTCGCCCTGCCCCCGCCAACGTCATTCCATTTTTATAGTGTCTGCATTTATTTTTTATGGAGCCTTCACATAAGGTCCGTGAGGCTAACAAAGCCCTTTTCATAATTATTCAATCCTCATAACCGTCTTCTAAAGTAGATGTTAACATTATCGTTCCCGTTGTACAGATAAGAAAACTGAGGCTCAAGGAAGATCAATTTCTATAAATTTAATAGATAATAAACAGAAGGTCTTTAAGCATTATATTCACCACCACCCCCAAGAAAATGCTTGAAACTACTGAAATCCTTCCTAAGATCCTTCGATTTCTCATAAGGGTTCAAAACACAAATCGCAATGCTACCAACTCACAGAGGAGAAATGACTCAATTCTCCTCCTCTCCTTGTGAAATTTCTGGGTGGAATAAAGATGTGGACAGCATCAGCACCAGATCCAGTAAATCTTCATTTAAAACCTCTGCTGCAGTTGTGGGGGCTGGGGAGAATGCTGGGACAAAGGTGGAGGGAAATGGACATTTTGGTGGAGGGTGTGGTGTTGAAACATTGTATGCATGAAACTCTACCACTAACAGTATTATAAATCATGGTGCAAAAAAATTCATTTTTAATTAAAATCTTTGCTGTGTTGACAAGACAGAGGCTATCTCCAGAATACCTGAGCTTCGCTTTTAAAGAAGAGGCCCCCATTCAAAAAAATGTGTTTCAAAAGGTGAAACACAATTTCCAGTTCAGGGAGAAAGAATCCAACTCTCTGGCAGAGTATCTGAATGAAGAAAATGGCTGTTCTACTAGAGTTTGGGGAGGTTGTATTCACCGACAAGAGTACGAGCCATTAGCTATAAAGCTGCACCTACTGCCTTCTGTGAGTTTCTTTCAGAATGGTTAAGGGTTGCTTTCTAGCAGACAAGTTCCAATTCTAGGTTAAATGCATTCCGAAGAGGTCCTGGTGACTGCCTGTTACCATGGTTACAGAGCCATTAGGCTTTATCCAGGCGTGTGAAAATCTCTCTATTCTCAGCCTCCCTCAGCCGTCCTCAGATATCTTTGAAGACATGACTCTCTTCTATCACACAGAGATAGATATTTGGTTTGAGTGTCAGCCAGAATGATGTCTTCTTGGGTTTTATCTTTGAATGATTCATGGAACTACCTCTGGGACCAGGGGTTGCATGAAAGTATTTAACTCTGCAGGCATCAGGCACTCAACAACCATGAGACAAGCATTCTGGGGCTGAAGCGATAGAACCGGTAGGGCGTTTGCCTTGCACACAGCCAACCCGGGTACGATTCCCAGCATCCGATATGGTCCCCCGAACACCACCAGGAGTAATTCCTGAGTGCATGAGCCAGGAGTAACCCCTGTGCATTGCAGGGTGTGACCCAAAAAGCCAAAAAAAAAAAAAAATAGTATTCTAAGGAGGATCTAGAAGATACCGCAGAATCATGACTTGCAATTTATTTTCTTGTTCATGTTGGACCCATTTTCCAGCATGAACAAAAAAATAGATTTCAAATTAGTTTTCTGTTGTACTTTAGACAGCCGGGGGGGGGGGGGGGGGGGTAAGAGCTAGATCCACCTCACCAGGTACAAGGCAAAGTGCAAGCAAACGATGCGACTCTCCTTGATCAACTGAAATTAAATCCAAGCTATTTATTTACCCACAATTACTGGAGCAAGGTCAGTCATGCCCTGGGGCAAGGCTCTGTTTATTGTGTCAGCCTTGGGAATGAACCGGAAGCCCTAGAGCTTCCTGGGTGGGTGATGGGGGGTGGGGCTTTCTGGCTGGGTGGGTGATGGGGGGTGGGGGTGAGGGTACAGGAGTCTGGTGGGGTAGGGGGGGTAGGGATGTTGTCTGTCCTCAGAAGTCTGCTCCATCTGTGTTGTGGACTCCAGGAAAGGTTTTATTCTTCCTGAGATGTGACCCATTTGGGATGCTAGTGGGAGTCATGTACTGCAATGGTCCTAGTGTTCACCATATTCATCAATCTGAGTTCTAGCTGGCATTGAAGAGACTCTGTACACAGGAAACAAAGCATATCAACAAGAGTGGTAAGTTGTTACCTCCAGCCTCTGACGATTCCTTAGTTTAGAGGGAGGATAATTAGTAAGAACATCCCCTAAGAGTGGCATCTATGGAGAGCTTTGGGCAGTTGTGGAACATGAAGGGTTCCCGTGATCTTGTGCTTCCCATGAGTCGTTTCCTAAGACTCCATATGCTTTAAGAGCAAAGGGAAACTGGCATGGGGCTAGAGCGATAGGACAGCTGGCAGGGCATTTCCCTTACATGTAGCCCTCCCAGGTTTAATCCCCAGCATCCCATGCGGTTCCCTGAACCCCACCAGGAGTAATTCCTGAGTGCAGAGTGAGGAGAGGGTAGGGTGCTTGGAGAAGAGGAGGGTACCGTTTTATTTAGAGAAATGTGAAGATGAAGGAAGGTGGGTGGGGGGAGAAAAATAGACAGAGGGAGAGAGCGAATCTGTTCAAGAGCCAACACAGGCTTCTCCAGAGGGGAGAGAGTCGAGATTGCACATTTCCGGTTGAGACGTGGATGGATCTCCAACACCAAGAGTGCACACTACTTGCCTTTACAAAGTTGGTTCTCTAGGATCCAAGAGCTAGTACCGGAGGTAAGGCATCTGCCTTGGATGTGGGCCACCCCAGTATCTTGGTTGCCCAAGCACAGAGCCAGAAACAGACTCTGGGCTATGCCAGGTGTGCCCTCCCAAACAACCCCCAAATTAAAAAGAATAATCGATTGTGGACAACTTTGTAAATCACAGTGCCTTAATTTTTTTTAATTAACGTTTTTTAATGTTGGTTTTATAGTAGAGCTTCTCCCAAACTGTCCTGCCTGGGGCTTTGTTGCTAGAGTAACCAAGGAGAAGGTCTTTGGACTCTTGATGGTCTTTTCCCTAATCCTATCATGAGCTTTTGTTCTTATTGGAGCTTCTGCTTTCCTGAGGAGCTTCATCTTCTCTGGGTGGTGCCCTCATGCCTCTGGGCTATGTCAGGTGACTTGGCAATTCTTTAAATCACATCTTGGCATTATTTAAAAAAAAAAAAAAACTCATTACCAAGGGCTCCTCCCTGTCTCTCCGCCTGCAAGTTGTTCTAGGAAACAGGCCTGCCCAGGGCACTGGGCTCAAATTCAAACTCAGCTGCTTCAGCAAGGCACTCCTGCAGGCAAAACTGGCCGAGTAAAGCTCCAACTCCTCTCCATGGGTAAGAAATGTGAATAATCTCCAAGGATGTAATCTCCTGGTAAGAAATAGGGGACCCTTGGGGCTGGAGCGATGGCACTGCAGGTAGGGCATTTGCCTTGCACGTGGCTGACCCAGGTTCGATTCCCAGCATCCCATATGGTCCCTCAAGCACCGCCAGGAGTAATTCCTGAACACATGAGCCAGGAGTAACCCCTGTGCATCACCGGGTATGATGCAAAAAAAAAAAAAAAGAAAAGAAATAGGGAACCCTACTCTAAGAGAGAGTCACCTAGGCAGGGGATTCTAACTAGTGGGCAACAGGCTGCAGAAGCAATGGGAGAGGGGAACTGTTACAGGCTGACCCCCTAGGACCCCCATGTAGGAAGTTTCCAATGGGCACTTGGAATCTAAGTCCCAAAATGCATGGCCTTCATTCCTTTCCCTCCTACAGCCCACAAGAACCTCTTCTCAAAGATCTTCTGTATATGCTGCAAAGCCTGTGAGGAACCCCGTGCCACAGATGATTCCAGTAAAACGCAAGAGCATCAGCCACCAATCACCCGTAAGTATCAGACAAGAATCTGCCTGACTCTCAAGACCCCATTGGCTTGCCCCTCACCCCCGTCTGCTTGTATGATAGTATCCTCCATTTTCATCCTTTAAGTGACAATGTCCACCTAAATGAAGGTAGGGATGGGATGGTTATGTTCCCAGACCAATAAACTACAGCCTAAAGGCTTGATTCATAAAGTGCATCTAGTGATCTGCCAAGGTGAATATCACCTGGGAGCTTGCTGAATTGGGAATCAGAATCTGAATTTTAACCTGACACTCAAGTAAGTCTTCACATGTTTCATTTGAGATACACATGCCTAAAGACTATAAGAATAGCCATTAGGGTCCCTGGCTTTGGGACTATGGCTCATTTAAACCAGTTAAGCTGCATAGACTTGAGCAAGGCACTGTCTCAGTCTGAGCTTCCATGTTCTTATAAAATGGAGTATTCATAATGAAGTATTACTTTCTATGATTGGAAAGTTTCCATTTGAGAAAAGGTAAAGGCCCTCCCGTTGATCGTCGATTTGCTCGAGCGGGCCCAGTAACGTCTCCATTGGAGACTTTGTTGTTACTGTGTCTGGCATATCGAATACTCTCGGTAGCTTGCCGGGCTCTCCGAGAGGGGCGGAGGAATCGAACTCGGGTCGGCCATGTTGGCCGCTTGTAAGGCGAATCCCCTACCCGCTGTGCTATCGCTCCAGCCTGCCGGGCTCTCCGAGAGGGGCGGAGGAATCGAACTCGGGTCGGCCATGTTGGCCGCTTGTAAGGCGAACGCCCTACCCACTGTGCTATCGCTCCAGCCCTGACCCAAATTCTAGTATAGATCAACCACCCCTTCAGGTACAGAACAGTGTTCAGCATACTGACAAAACCCAAGGCCATACTTTCAGAAATCTAGAAGCATGTATATTCAGTCTTATGTATGACGAGTGCTCATTCAAACAGTAGTGAAATCTAAATATCTAAATCTAAATATCCCATAGAGCATTGGTTAAATATGTACAATTGCATTACCCAGAAACTAGAATATCATACAACCAATTCTTTCTCAAGATTTGGTGGCACAAAGAAAATGTTTAGGCAATCAGGTACGTGGAAAAAGTAAAGCACTTTCCTAAATACTGGATGAGGTGAACCATATGAAAATACTCCTAGGGAAGTGTTGGATCTGTGTCCGGACCTAAGGAGGGATGTTTGCTGCACATTTTCCTTCTTTCTGGCCTTCAATACTCCCTAGCTTTTCCAGAATGGCTGTTTACTGCATGTGTAAGCAGGCAGGAAGTCCACTCTGCATGATGGAAGAGAACGTTGTCGAGCATCCCTTTATGCAGGGAGCTGCTCCCTATCCCATCACCACCGGTACTGGTCCCCGAGGGCCCTCCTTCCAAGTTGGCAAAACGCTTCCATGTCCTCCTGCTCCCCTGACTCTCCTGGGTGTGTGATCATGTGGACTTCTTATTGCCAGGTTCATGGTCGCAGATAAAACTTGACAAGAATACTACCAAACCCACCAAATGGCCCTCTTCAGCACGACTCCTGACCCATTCTAACAGGAAAGACGACTATGCCATTGACTCTAATTTTATCGGTGAGCCCCACGTGGAGGTGCTGGTACTGACCAGGAACTCTGGAGGGGGCAGGAGAAGACAAGAGAAGCAGGGGTAGTGTTTACCTCAGGATTAGACCCCCCCACCTTGGTGCCTAAATTGAGCTAGAGGGACACAAAACAGGGACCCACACACTCCCCCCAGGAAGTTCCTTTCATATTCTGGAACACACCAGAGAGCCCCAGGGATCTGAGACCCAGGTGCTTGGAATGCACAGCTAGGACCGCCAAGAGGACCCCCAGGTCTGGAAGGGGCTAAGCCCTGTGACATTATTTTGTGTGATTGATGGTTGACTTTGGCTTCAGCCACTAGACAGTGAGGTCTAGGCAGGCAAGGGCTGGTGCTGCCCCAAAACTAGATGAGTAAGACCACCACACTTGATGGGCTACATGGAGTTTGGTGGGGGTGGAATGCCTCTGGAAGGACAGAAGTCCAGGAAGAAGACAAGCAGGTGGGACCTCACGGATGCTCCCTGTGACACTGGCTGCTTAGAGCTCAGGGACACACGCAACAGTCACCCCAGAATTCTAGCATGGCACAACCCTGCCTGCACATAGACGTATGTACCAGTCAGATTTCTGCACAAGATCAAATGGGTCCTGCTGCACTTGAATGGCGAGGAAGAGGGTCAGAAGTCCCCTGAGCTCACCCACCCACTCTGTTACCCACCCCACACCCACCCTACTCCCAATTGCCAGACCACCAGAGCTACAAGGAGCAATTTGAAACCCGCCTCATTGTAAGAGGAGGCCGCAGGCTAGGAGGAAAGGACCTTACCAAAAGTCCCCCAAGACCAGGAAGGAGGGGAGGGGGAGGGGAGAAGAGACAAGAGGAAATAAAGCATTGGCCATTCACGCGGGTGTTGATGCTACAACTCTGCATCCAACTCCCAGCACTCTCAAGCACAGCCCGGGGTCACTCCTGAGCACAGCCAAGGAAGAGCCCCTGAGCAATGCCAAATGTGAACCAGACCCCCACAAGCCCCTGCCAAAAATAAATAAATAAATTCAGAGTTTCCCAGGGTTGTCAGAACCAGGCAGAGCACAACTTGCCTTTTCAAACCACTGCACTTCACAAAATACCCTGCAACCCTCAAAAGTCCTGAAGGGGTACGGGGCAAAAAATACATCTCTGTCCCCAGTAATTCCGAAGTTCACGCTTCAGAACCCTACCAGAATCTAAGCTCACGCCCAGAAGGGCCCACCCTTCAAAACCCCTGCAGCAATGACCACATCCGTTATCCATTTTTCTTTTTTTTTTTCTTTATTTCTGCTTTCAGATGATATTTCACATGTTTCTCCAAGGGGATTTTATAAGAGGAACCTAAACCGATACTCTCAGCGGCACTGGCCCTACCAGCCATGTCTCATTGGCCAGCCCTGATCTTTCTAGACACCACCTCCAGGCAGCCTTCTCTGCTGTCCTGGCTGGAGCGTCTAGGTGGGCAGGAACAGCGACCGGGGTCCATGAGGACGGATTCGGAAACTCCGCGGAGGAGGAGATGTCTGAGGCCAGACCTGTGTCGCCAGCACGTGTCACTTCATCTCCTGAAGAAGTCACTTTGCGGAAGGAGCTGTCTCCAATTAAAGTCCTTGGAACATCAAAGCGCCGTGGTTCCTCTTTCCCTTCCCCTGTCTCCACCCCCACCCCGTCCCTCCAGAACCTTTTTCAAATGATGCCTCGGTGCGTTTAAACACCCACACAGGCAACTAACTTCCAACTAATTTGTTTAATCTACCAGATAGGTTTTAAGTATTGTTTTTCTGGCACACATCACCTAGCAGTGCTCAGAGGCTACCCCTGACTCTGCTCAGACGCCCTTGTTGGTGCTGGTGGGGGGACCACGTGCCTGTCAGAGATTCAGTCCGGGGTATTCCGAGAAAGATCCTTAACCCCGTCTATCTCTCCATCGCCTGGATAGTTGTCTTCTTTCTTGCGGGGGTGGAAGTGGGTCTCCCAAGCAGTGCTCAGAAGTTCCAGGGAGGTTCCTGTTGTGGTCGTCAACCAACCTGGCATTGGTTCAGCTTAAGGGCCCAAGGGTGCGGTGCTGCTCTGGCCCTGCAGTGCCAGGGACACCCTGGAGATGCTAGAGGGTGGCTCCAGGGTCACACCCAGATATGCTCGTGGGACTTGGTGGTGCCAAGAAGCGAATCTGAATCAAATGCATGCCAGGTATGTGCCCTACGCACTGTACTATCTCCCTACTCCAGTTTTTTTGTTGTTGTTTTTGTTTTTGTGGGTTTTTTTTATTAGTTTCCAACTTAAAATTTTCAAAAAGAATACAAAGCCCCTAGGTTTCCTTTTCACCAGGACCAACTCAACATCTGCAGTCCCTCCTTTGCTTCATTTCCTCCCTGTGGTTTTGTCCATTCTCTGAGACTATCGCAAGCAAGAAGTCTGACATTCATCCAATACTACTTAAAAGTCACCCACTGTCCTCCAAGTACCTTACTCCATCTTTGCCCAAGATCCAAGATGACTCCAGAAATGGTCCGAGACAGCTGTGTGCCTCCAATCTCCTCCAATCTGCAACATGAAACATGGCCCTTGAGCTACACGCTTTGATGAGAAGAGAATGACCCACACCCAACATGCAAGTAGTTTATCTTACGCTCCAGTTTTGGGTGGGGGGCAGGAGCACCTGAAAAGATCATGGTGTCCTCCTCCTGATCACGAGCCAGAGTGGAGGAGGGGACCATCATTTGAGATCAAGGGGCTCAGGTGGCCCAGGGTGCCAGTCTTTTCTTCTTTCCTTTAGACTTTGACTATAAAATAAAGCTCCCGGAAGCCTTATTATGGTCTAGGCCTTATAGTCTAGGTCTCCTTCTCAGAGAACCCGGCAAGCTACCGAGAGTATCCTGCCCTCGCGGGAGAGCCTGGCAAGCTCCCGTGGCATATTTGACATGCCAAAAACAGTAACAATGATGTGTCACATCATTCATCTGACCCTGAAAGAGCCTCCAATGTGGCACTGCTGGGAAGGACGAGTAAGGAGAGGCTGCTAAAATCTCAGGGCTAGGACGAATGCAGACGTTACTGGAGCCCACTCGAGCAAATCGATGAATAATGGGATGACAGTGACAGTAATACAGTGATACTCTCAGGAAGGGAGCTATTTTGAGAGTCTGTAGCTAGCCCGTTCCTCCTGACTTGTTTGTTTTCATCCACTTGATTAAGCATTTACAAATCCTTGCCAGAACGAGCTGCTGTTATGACATTTATCAAATATTGGTTTTTCTCTCACATTTTCATTCTGCATCAGTTCATCTTTGACTGCAGAGAAAAGCTCTTCTTCTTCCCCTTTATTTGTATGTCTTTATAGAGACTTAGATGAAAATGTATTAAAATTGCAAAATTCTAATACTATGATCATTGACCCTCATGATGAAATTGTTCCAGATTTATTTTTAATTGTCCCAGATTTAACCAGTGGGAGCCCCCAGGAAGCTAGTGCCTGTATTCTTTGCTCCTAAATCTCCTTAATTACACAGTGTGCCTTGACTCATATGTTCCCTATCACAGTCCTGGATTAGCTACTTCAAGGAATCTTGATTCCTATTGAGGGTGGTGGGGGATGAGGATTGTATTTACCAGCAACTTTCAGGTGTGTTGTGTCGGGGGGATTCTTTGCTTATAGGGTTTCTTAGTGGAAATATTCAAACATACAGATAAAACATATTTATAAACACAAACCAAGAAAGGAGAGAGAATACAGAACCAGTAGATGACTTCACCTCCAATCCAACCAACACCAAAAAAATTGTGCTAGATTGGCCCTTTCTTATGTTTCCAATTCCTTTCTTCGTGAAAGACCTGGATGGCACAACTTACCTGTTTCATCATTTCCCCAGCTCTGAAATGAGTTTCAGAATAGTCACGGCTCTTTTTAATCTACTAATGGTTTCTATCCAAATATTGTCTTCAAAAATGAACACACTTCTTTCTCTCCCCCCTTCCCACATTGTGGTTATGTTCATTCATTTGAAATGATGCTTGTTTCATTTGTTTGGTATTTTTATTCCATGTTTGTTGGGGGTTTCCTTTTATTTATTTTTTTTAGACATTTATTAAAGACCTTATCCCGAGGACCACAGATGTAGGTCACTTAAGTTAGTGGTACCGCATTTGCCTGGCACCCACCATAGAAAAACAGATTTTAAAAAAGTTATTCTGGTTTCAAAGTTAAAACAGCAAAACAATACAGAAATAGAATGTACCCAGAAATTTCACTCTGCCCACTGCTCACTACACACATCTCCTCCCCACCCTCAGTGTTTCCTGCCAGATTCTTTCCATGGCCCTTTTTTTTTTTTTTGCAAAAATGAGCCAATGCATATGGAATAATTCTTATTTCCCTTTCATACACAGAACAGGAAGTTATTCTACTTGGCTCTTTTTAGTTTAATGATTTCTCTAGGAAATCACATGATATCATCCAAGAGGGGGTCTCTGTCCTTTAATGCAACCCCATCCCTGCACTGTGCATAAACCCTTCTCTTACAGCTCACGTACACTCTGCTGCCAACGCTTTTCTCAGTTACAAACACCACAGTGAGAAACCTTATCCGCAAATAATTTTGTATTTGGATGTTTTATGTTTGAGATTAATTCCAAAGTATGAGTTTTTGGATGCGGTGATTGGGGCAACATTGGGCGCTGCTCACAGCTTGGCCCTCTGCTCAAGGATCACTCGGGGCAGGTCTCAGGGAATTGGTCTTTGAGTCAAAATCGGGTTCACAGCACGCAAGGCAAGTATCTTAACCCCCGCACTATCTCTCTGGCCTGAGAAGTATGGATGTTCAAGTCAAATACACACAAACACACACACACACACACACACACACACACACACACTGTTCTCACACCCCTTCTGTACGTTGTAAATACCTATCTCCTCACACCTTCGCTAACTTTTACATTTTTAATCATCTGAGCTATGTGAAGTAGAATCTCATTTTTGCTTTACTTTGCAATTATGCATGAAGAGCAACTTGTTTTCATGTATTTTAGGGGTTTTCGGATGCCAATGATCAAATCCAACGCAAGTGCCCTACCCTATAACACCACCCTCCCCATTTTTATTTGTTTAAAAACTTCTTTCATGTTTCTGTGAAAAACCCACCCATTTCCTCTGCTCATTTCTTATTGTTTTTCCCTTTAATTATGCAGTACTCTTTGTATCCTAGGGATGCACATGTTTTTTTAATTAGTGAAACACCATGAGGTACAATTGTAGACTTACAAACTTTGGTGCTTGGGTTTCAGTTATACAATGATCGAGTACCCATCCCTCCAACCAGTGCCCATTCTCCACCACCAATGATCCCAGTAGCCCTCCCACCACCCCACTCCATCCCACCTCTGTGGCAGGGCATTCCCTTTTGCTCACTCTCTCCTTCAGGGTGTTGTAGTTTGCAACAGAGGTATTGAGTGGCCATTGTATTTGGTCTATAGTCTACTTTCAGCACGCATCTTGCATCCCGAGCAAGCGAGTACTCCAAACATTCTCTACTTGGTGTTCCCTTCTCTATCTGAGCTGCCTTTTCTCCCAGCATGTGCTGCCAGCTTCCAAGCTGTAGAGAAGTCCTCCTGGTACTTATCTCAATCTTGGGTGTACTATTCTTGGGTGTTCGTCTCCCAGTCTGTTACTTTATATTCCCCAGATGAGTGCAGTCTTTCTATGTCTGTTCCCTTTCTGGCTCATTTCACTTCACATGATACTTTTCATGTAGAACCACTTGTATGTAAATTTCATGACTTCATTTTTTTCTAACAGCTGCATAGTATTCCATTGTGTAGACGTACCAACGTTTCTTTAACCAGTCATCTGTTCTCGGGCACTCAGGTTTTTTTCCAAATTTTGACTATTGTGAGCAGTGCAGCAATGAACATAGAAGTGCAGATGTCATTTTGACTGTACTTTTTTTGCCTCTCTGGGATATATTCCCAGGAGAGGGATGAACATTCTTTTATGAAGTAAAGATGGTACGTGAATATCCTAGCTTTCCATTTGACTTTTGATTTTACTTATGGTGATTTGGGGCATTGAAGTCAAATAAGATTGAATTGCATGTAGAGTTTGGGTCATTGGAAGCTTTTCCCTGTAGCCTATGTATAGAGGAAAACTCACCCTTATTTCCTAAGTGTTGTCTATATTTTTACTTTGTACATTTAGATAGTTTAAATTTGGCATTATTACATAAAGTGTCTCTAACCTTTATCTTTTTTTTCCAAATAGTTTTTTGTATTCATTTTCATTTTCATCATCCTGTTATTCGTCGATTGCCTCGAGCAGGCCCCAGTAACGTCTCTTTCATCCTAACCCTGAGATTATATTCAAGGATCTTTAGGAAAATGAGACCCATCATTGTTACTGGTATTTG